CTGATGCATGCAAACAAATAAAAACTTGTTTTGTGCATTTCTGTGAGGAGACATTTGTGATTTGCTCCACCTGGAGGACAAATGCAATGCAACCTTTCAGTGATTGTGACATTGGTATTCATAAGCAGCTGGTTCCAATTAGTAGTTTTAGATAAACAGAATAATGGATACAAGTGCATGTGACGCTCTTTTATTTTGTCTGTTTATGCAGAAAGCAAGACTTGCTCGAATTCGTGCAGCAAAGAGTGGGAGTGCTAATGCCTACATGCAGAGCAAACGGAATGGCTTACTGAGTAACCAGCTGCAGCAGGTAATGTGTTTGTGCCCTCCACCTCCACAGTAACAGCTTAATAACAGCACAGCAGCAGTTTATTCTATTTCTCACTAGGGCATGTCAACTTGGGTCTTTAGGCAATGTTGTCTTTAAAGGTAGATTAAGGAAAGATAAGCCGGGCAATTATTACTGCTGAAGGTACTTTACAGGACCTGATGATAGGATAATTAAAAAAAAGAAACCCACAACGCACACACACCAAGAGAGGAAATGGCCAGATAGAAACACTGTGCTCAATGTAAGCTGGGTTTTTAGAGGCAGATCTTACAGAAAGATCTCTTAAGAAAGCTTAGTTCATTTGCCTTCTAGGATAAGCTTATCTCATTTGGCTTTACGCAGCTAGAACATGGGTGATAGTCCCTCATGCTCAGTGAGAGAGGTAGATGTAGGGTTCTGTTGGCACAGTTGCAGAGTGGCAAATGTTCCCTGGAAGTGCCTACTTTGTTTTTTCTCTTGGGACAGCCTCAGCCATTACTCCCAGGTGCAGTAGGGACCGCAGGACTGCAAGCGGCCGGAGGCAGCCCTTGGGCTGTGCAGGGCTGAGCACTGAGGGCCCAGTGTTTCTCAGTCCTTGCTGCTTTCTGGCAGCTCTCTGAGGGATACAGGAAGGCTTTCATTCCTCTGTGCCCTTTCTGTTTAAGAAGCGTTATAAAGGCTAACGTTTTAGCATATAGCCAGGAGAAGAGGAAGTGACTGTGATTTAGCATAAAGGGAAGCGGTCAGAGCTCTCGATTCCTCTTCTGCTCAGAAGAATTCAAATCACTGAAAGAGACACCAAATGGCTTTATTGCCATGCAGCTTTCAAATACCCCAAAGTTGAATTGTAATCTTTCCTATTATCCCACTTCCTCCCCTATTTAGTTTTCTGGCTTCCAGTGAATAATTACAAAAGCAATTAATAAACAGTGGATGCTTTCTACTTAATTCTTCATTCTGTGTCAGTAACATCTGTTGTACGCTCTCTGCAGTCAGCAGATTGGGATCACTGACATGACTTTTTGTGTAAGCAGCAATACCACGCATTCTTCAGTGCAGTGAAACGATCCCAAGAGGACAACTCTATTTAATTTCCTTCCAATAAGGCACATTCCTAAGCAAAAAATATTTTACTGTCACTGAAATTTATGTTAACTGTAAATATGTACTAATACAAAATTCAAGGCTTGCACATTGATTGCACTTGGAAATTATTTCAGTCAACTTATATAGGTATTAAAAGACCTAAAATGGAAATATTTAAAAGGAGATGCAAGGGAAAGATAGGAACACTTTAATTTAAAAAGAAAAAAAAGCAAAAGAGTAATCACATCCAAGGTCATTTGGGTTATCCCATGTGGAGCAGGCATTACAGTTATGCTACAGTATACAATCCAGATTAGTTCTGATCAGATACTTGGATAAGAGCCCTCTTGTTCAAAAATGAGACTAATATGGAGTTCTTTGTATTAACAGTCCTCCAGTGAAGAAGAACAGGCCTTTGTTAGCAAATCTGGCTCTTCCTTTGAAACGCAGCACCACCACCTGCTTCACTGCCTGGAAAAAACTACGGTAAAAAAAAAAAATGTTTTCCTGTAAATTTCAACATTAGCCTAATTCTGAATGTTTTCAGTATTTCTTCGAAGTAATAAACCTTTTGTGAAAGTGATTAGTTGGGGAGAAAAGCCATCTTATTGTATTTTAAAGCATGGTACCCTCTGCACTTGAACAGGAAAGAGAGAGGCAGATGAGAGCTTTGTCTAGTGTAAAAGGTAATGTGACATCAGCCTGGCCTTCCGTGTGCAGGTGATGGAGCACCAGCACGAGTTGCACTGGGGCTGTGCAGTCTACTCTTTGGAGATCTTCTATAACTGCCACCCTGGCGTCCTGCTCTGGGTGTCCCTGCTGAAGAAGGGTTGGGCCTTGGGAGGTCCCTTCCAACCTCAACCATTCTGTGGTTCTATTAAACCTATTTTGCAACTTCTCTTTAAGATATGGATACATAGTGGAACTTTGTTATTTCATCATAATGCTACTGTCCTTTTTTTTTTTTTTAAATTAAAAGACATAGTAATTCTTTTGGTACATTTAATGGAGAGCAATGTGAATGTCTTACTACTCTTTCTCAAAATAAAAGTAAAAATATAAGGTTTTCCCTTTCCAGACATTGCTAAAATATTATGTATTCATATATATAAATCATTGTTCTCCTTTTGACAACTTTTTCTTGTAAATACAATGGCCCATTTGTTATATCACTTAGCTAGTGATACGTCATCTCACGGTGCATATGTTTTCCCATGCTTACCTTTGGAATATTCATTTTTATATAATGGGTTGTAGGACACAATGTCTTGCTTCCTATTCAAAGCATAATGTAGTTACTTTGCCAGTATTCAGGCTGGGTCCTTTTTGAGAGGACATTTTTGAGACATTCTGTACTAGAACCTGATAATAGTAATCTGCCTTGAAATGTACCACAGTTGAATATTACAAATGTATTTTGAAAACCTAGTAGTAGCCACAGGTCTTGTTAAATTCTCATAGAAGTCATCAAAAAAATCCATTTGGTGGAATTCAACCCCAAAACATTCACATTTCCTCTAATTATTATAATGATGGAATATGGAAGCTTTATGTAAGCAACTGTCTGGCCAGATTTTGCATTCCAAAAATTTAAGAGGCAAGTAGAAATTTTAGGCACCCAGAATGTGGAATATGGAAAGCAGCTGTTTCCTGGTGTACCAACAAGAACAAGATGCCTTCTTAGTCTCTCCTCCTTCAAAATAACTTCTTTTGACTGGGGTTAATACCTAATGTTAGGCAAAGGAGTATTTTTTCTTTTCCAACAAATTAAAGCCAATATGATAAAATCTTTCATACTCTATGAAGCACAGCATGAGTAATGTCATGGAATTCTGTGAAAGTTACATTAATAACGAAAATAATTGTACCAAATGTTATATTTTATAGGCTACATTTAGCTGATGCAAGAACAGTTAATTTATAAGTATAATCAAATAGATTAACTGAAGCCATTATATCATTTCAAAATGTTTCCAGTCTATATTAAAAGTTCATTCAGCAGCCTTCTTTAATGGACCCTGCTAATTGAATTCTGTTGGTTGCTCCATAAAAGTTTTAGGAAGAACAAAATAACTTTCAATGGAAAAATGAGCAGAACTATTGGCAAATAGAATGTAAGCCCTCAAAGAGAATCTGAAGACAGTGATTAGGTCTTTTTTTTCTCTCTGTGTGTCCACTGTCCACTTGTGTGATAGTATTCAAAATCTTGTTTGTTGCTGACACATGCTTTAGAGCAGTTGATTTTCAAGCAAATTTCTTTCATTTCACTTGAAATGGGTATTCTTCAGTATCAGTCAATTGCACACACATTTATGTTTGAGTGAAGGAAAAGAGAAGAAACAGAAATGATAATAAGCCTATGAAGGTGTTTCCATTTTTAGCAGCAGTTGGCTGCAGTTGATACACTATTTATTTTGCTCACATATTTCGTATTTGTACTGTACTGCAATTCTCCTGGAAACATGAGCCCCTTTCCGATTAGTGTGTCCTTCTTTAAGGGAAAAATAGTTTTTCTCTTTCCAGTAGATAAACATGCAGCAGGCTAACAAACCTGAAGTGAATGACACTGAGAAGAGTGTGAAATAAAGCATAAGCCCTAAACATTTTCAGGATATGCGGATAATTTCACTGATAACTTCAAATATATTAGAAAAAAGGAGGCTTTCCAAAGAGCATGTGAATGTGTCTTAATCTCTGTTTAGTTTGGACTGCTGCTTCAAAAATATATATATATTCTTTATTTAGTTAGTTTCCTCCTATTATCAGCACCACTACATCACTATTTAAAAATGTGAAAATCACAGTTTAGTGTGAAGCAATCCACAGTCACTTACCTAGTCATTGTAAACTGCCATTTGCTTGAATTTGGATTCAGCTCTATGACAATTCTATGAAATTACTGAATTTCTGTCTCTGCTGGGATTAAGCAAGGATTGCAAGAACAAAGACCGCTTTATTTAACCAAGCACTCCATTTACAGAACTGATTTTAATATATAGATCTGCAGTAATAAGGAATGTACTGAATGGTTTTATATGACTGTTTCATCATCTCCTGCAAACAAAAGGTTTATTTATTTGATTCTTTTCCTTTTACATAGATGCAAACCTTGAAACAGTGCTTCAAATCCTTCTTGTCTAACATGTAATCCAAACTGAAGTATTACAAAGTCATCTGAGAAACGTTCATCAGTTTTTTGCTGTAGTTTTGTACAGCAAATCCTATTTCTAAATGGCATTTAGGGCATTTACATAAGCACCACTTTTATTTTTATAAATAAATATAATCCCCCATTTTATGGCACTCCACAGATGACACGGACATTCATAGTGCAGCCTACGATATGGTTATACAAAAGAACTTGGATTATTTTTTCATAGCTAAGTACCTGGAGAGTTTTGTTCCAGTGTTTACATTTGTATTGGTATTCAGCCCAGGCTATGAGGGGCCGAATGCTATAATCAAGACTAAGCTGTCTAACTTTACCGATTTATTCAGTTGTACCGATTTAAGCCTTTAAGCAAGCATAATTAATATGTTCATTTTAATTAACTTTCTGCGTGTGCTTTGTCCCTTTGCTGGGTTCCTTTGTGCTAGAATCACGAGTTTGTGGATGAACAGCTCTACGAAGAGAGCTGCATGGAGGTTTCTACAGTCAATAGACCCCCAAGCCACAGCCCCTCGCTGTCGTCCCAGCAAGGCGTCACTGGCACTTGCTGCTCACGAAGACATAAAAAGACGTACCGCATCCCCAACACTGCCCTCACGGGCAGCCGCCACGGCAGCGTACAGGAGCTCAGCACCATCCAGATCAGATGTGTAGAGAGGACACCTCTGTCTAACAGGTACTTCTTAGCATCAGCACACCAAGAGCTAAAACCTCTTTGTTCCCTAGGGATACGCTTTGGCCTCCACAAGTAGGCTGGGAGGCTGCAGATAACACTGAAATTGCCATCTAAAAATGGACAGTAGTCCTGAAATAGCCTGCACTCTCTTCTCTCCTAATGTAATTCTAAGATAAAAGAATAGGCAATCTCTTTTCATTTCTGCTCTCTTATGTCCTCCCCATAAACCGTTGTGTGTTCTTTGCACAGAATAGCATCCAGGGACTCCAAATGATAAAAAGCACCAAACAGTACTGCTCACAGACAAACATGGAATAAGAAAAAGTACAGAAAAATGTATAATTCATATATACAAGACAAGCAAATGGGAAGTAAAGGAAAAATTTGTCACTGCTGTTCCTTGATTTAGTTCAGAGCACAAATGACACTTCCAAATAAGGTAGAGAAGAGGGAAATAAAACTAGATTGCCAAGAATCACAAGTGCTATAGTAATAAGAAAGTCTCTACCAAACAATGAAAGGTACAAAATAGATAAAAAAATGTATTTTGTATTTTGAGGAGTTATTACAAAAGTGAGGAAAGTACAGTTTAAGTCATTGAAAATCTCTGTACTCTCACAGATGCACTGACTTTTAGGTGTATCTGAGCACCATCTCTGAGAAAACAGCAAAGGGACTCAGAAGTGTTTTCCATTGAACTCAGACGTGCCGCCATTTAAAAAAGAAGTGTTCTCAGCATGAGTTACTAGAAAGATTCACTTTTTAAGTGACATTTTGAGTAGCTTGCTTTAAATAGTTGTTAGGTTTGGATTTCACTTCTATGAACAATTCAGCAGCTTGTAGCTAATGGAGTCTTCCAGCTCTTGGCTACCACAGAGCCCCAGTCTATCTTGGATTGCCTGGATCCATCCTTTCTCTGCTGGCAGACTTTCCTGCACCACATCTCCCATCACAGAACAACTAACATAATGAAAAAAAGAAAAAAAAAAGCAACCCCATAAAAAATAAAGAAAACTAAACAACAACAAAGTTTGAAATGCCAGTCTCATCTTTTGTGAGTTAGTTTTAAGATTTTTATAATGCTGTGATGCTGAGGTTCATTAACTCAAACTTAGTTTGCGTTCATATCACTGTGTCTTACTACCAAAGGTATATAACATACAAAGGCTCTTACACAAAGATGGCATGGGAGAGTCAGTGGGGTACTGGGAGTTCCACTTAGTCTCTGCTTCCCTCCAATGTAAGGCACTTGTCAATGCTGTTTGCTCCCCACTGGGCAGCCCAAATGCTTCCCATGCTCAGAAACACTTAGGTGATGAGCTGAGAAACTTTTAGAAGCACAGAAGGTGGGAAAGAAGGGAGAAATGGGCCATGGCCGTGGGCTGCCTGCTCATGGGTAGGTGTTGGTAGGAGGCTGGTGCCACTTTGTCCCTCTGAGCTCTGTAACAAGGCAGGGCAGAGGGGATGGCAATGTGTGTTCAGGAGTATGGACTTGCTTTCATCATGGGTTCTTGTTTCTTCCTCCAGCCGATCCAGCTTAAATGCCAAAGTGGAAGAGTGCGTTAAACTAAACTGTGAGCAGCCTTACGTCACTACAGCAATAATTAGCATCCCAACACCTCCCGTCACCACACCTGAAGGAGATGATAGGCCAGAGTCTCCCGAGTATTCGGGAGGAAACATTGTCAGAGTATCCGCTTTATAAAATAAGGAATTATTTATAAATTCGAATAAAGACCACTTATAAGCTGAGCTCGAGCAGAGAGAAATGAGTCCTGAGGAATGAGAGAGCTGACAAAGACAACACCCCCTGATGTGTGTGCCAGCAGCAACGGAGTGAGACGTTCAGGAGAACCACAACAACTTGTGGCTGTCAGTGTCACACCATGGGAACCAGTGGAGTTTCTACATACTGTTGGAACTGACACATAGTGGAAGCTTCTGTGACCATCCTGACTTACTATAGAGCACAATGAAATGTCCCCATTGATGCTTCTTCTTATCATGAGAGCTCTTTTTAGAAAAAAAAAAAAGAAAAAAAAAGAAAAAATATACATAAAACAAAAAAATAGAAACCCGTGTTCCTGCTGAATGCAAAACAAGAAACATTTTGATAACATGTCTTTTTTTCCTCCTGTTAATAAACCACAAACTTGTTCAGAAAAAAAGAAGAAAGAAAAAAATGCTCATAATGAAATATGTTTGTACTGACTGAAAGAAATACAACCATAATGCATGCTGAAATTATTTGGAGCTGTGATCTCAGTTTCCTTTTGTTGTTTTTCAGATTAGGCATGATAAAATATTACTGTAGAAAGGGGCATTTCTGTGCACTTACAACAAGCTGATTGTTAATGTTCCATGGTAGTTGTACAAATAACTTCCCTTTGAAAAATGCAGTATTTCTTATTCAAACTCTCATTAGTGTACTAAAGGTGTTCAGTTAGTTCAATATTTACTATTGTTTTATCTTGCTTCCTAGGTACTGTTACAACTGCAATAAGTCATTGTACACCTGTTGTATCAGGAATCAGGATTTATTTTTCTTTAAGGTATTTTACACAACTTCATCTACACTATAAACTTCTAATGGCAAATATCTACATAATCTTACAGCCAAACTGTGCACCACAAATGTGCTATTCAGTCACTGTTCTTTTTGTCCTCTGTCCTCTATTTCTATGACAGTTCATTGTCTCCTCCAACATTACCATGCTGTTTGGGACTTCAAGGCTACTAATGAACAGGCATAGTCCTTAGTTCTGAAGACATCTTGTCTCATTCTGTATTTTCGGAACAAACCTCTTGTCCCAGTGTACTGTTGCAGGATCGCTCCCATTTGAATTGAGATTAGAACAAAGTTTGTTTGGGGATCATTTAACATTTCTCTCTAAACTTTCCTCATGGATGTTCTGCAGCATCCAGAGTGTTGGCTGCAGTGGAAGACACTGAAAGACATTCAGTAAAAACAATGGTGAAATTATTCTTGCAATTATCTACAAACTTGAATCCTAAAATTTGTTTGAAAATTTATATTGTGTCAAGATATTTAATTACCTAAGAACACTGATCAATAATGGGTTGGGTCTCAAAGCTATAAAAATGTGACTGATTTCTTTTGGAATTTGCCAGTGGGCAGGTCTAACAGGTACTATGAAAGCTCTCTTAGTTAAGGTTTTTTGGCTTCATTTTTAGAAGACATTGATGTTAGCAGAAACCTTTCTGATAAAAAAATGACATTTTTCTTCATGAGAGTGCATTCAAAGATGTATCATAATGCTTCCTATGTACACAAACTACCATAAATCCTATACATCAAATATACATGGAATATTTGCATATCAGTACCTACATATATACATCAAGAACACTGGATCAGAAATAATTGCATGTCTGCAAAATAAAATATGCATATAAATCAAAAGGCTCGGTACATTAATGGCCATTACAATAAATGATTAACACAGTTATTTAATAGTTTGGGTAGTGTATATTTCAATATAGTATTTGTTAGCATTCTACTGACCTTAAATTTTACATTAGGAGATGACACCCACTAAAAACTGAAACTTGCTGATAGTACACTTTTTACAGCACACAGATATTTCTTTGTACCTTTCAACAGAGACTGAAGAGTAGATGACGGACTATCATGCTACAGTATATACACCAAAATGTAACAATGTCACCTATTAGAATTGAATTGCAATTAAAAGGAGCATATAATGTAATGCATTATGCTTTTTTCTTACTATTTACTTATTCAGAAGCTTGGTTAATTTGCAATTATCAACTTGCTTTTTGATCAGAACAACTTACTATAAACCGAGCTTCTAAATTTCTTTCAGATTATAACAGGTAGCAGAAGCACAGATTGTCCTGTGACAGAAGAACACTCATTTTGAGTAATTCTGATGTCAACTATGTGGTGTTGCACGCCTCTCTTTTACCCTGTTAGAAAATTGTGGTAAATCTGCTGCAGCTGGTGGGTTGCCTAAGTTTAAAGGGGCTAATATGAGAGGTAGAATGGACCTTGAGCTTATACTTATATCCTCCATCTACCCATGGTCACTCATAAAAAACTGGCTTGGTCCCCACCTCGTGCTGAAAGAACTATTGACATAAAACTGCCTTTACACTACCAGTCTGCAACAACAGCTTAATGCCATATGGTACTTCTTGAATAGTAACATCATTAAATAATGTTAAAAGGCAGTTACCAAGCCCAGTTCGGGACAGATTACATACAACCCAAGAAACCTATTGACTCCATCAGTTCATGTGTCTCTCAAACTCTTTATTCTCCTTTTTGCATGGACTGAAACAATTGCACTAGAGCAATACACTTGCATAATGGTTATATCCCAGAAACAACCCGTACTTTCATTCTTAAATTACAGTTTAGGGAATAATTTAGTATGATTTTGCAGAATTCTAGTCTTGTCTCATATCTCCACATGTCACATGCAAAATCATTACATTATTCTGAATTTGGAAAATACACATTCTTTTGGTGTTTTAGGTGATTTAAATGCTGTTTTGGTAGTGAATGACTGTTGATGACTGTGTAAAATGCATCTGTACTGTACATGAAATGTAATTATTTCTGTGTATCATACAAAGAAACCGAAGTTGTTGTTTTTGACAATTTTGTTTGACAGTCATATATCGTATTTCAGAAGGCAGCATAATACATGCGTTATGCTGAATAAATAGACATTTGAGGAGTACTTAAATAAAACATCTGCATGCTTGAATGGGTCAACCTAGTTTTGAGATAACTTATTCATGGAACTACTTTTTTTTTTTTTTTTTTTTCTTTTCCTAACATGATTCAAGGAGCACTGAATCTGAGGGCAAGGAATTTCCCCAATACTAGTTCCAGGAAGCACAGATGAGCTCATCTAAACATAACAGTCACCAAGACCACTCTGTCGCAGCTGCACAGCACAGAGCTGCCCTACTCAGTGTGGGCAGCCACCAACATTACCTTCCCAACTCCCTTTTCTAGTAGAGCTGCTAAAGGAGCCCTTTGCTATTTCCTACCCAGCCTCCAGCAGCAGCAGAAAAAATTGCGGTACTGAATTCTTTCCAGTCATATGAACTCTACCTTTCTGTCTTTACTTTTTAGAAGATTTCTGCTAGGATTTGAACATATCCAGTCACTGACTGGATGCATCTCCTAGGTGACAGAATCACCTCAAGACTGATATCAAATTCCCTTGTTAAAATATTAGTGTGCATATGTGATCAAACTCCTTTGGTAGCATGGAAGCAGCTGAAAACACACTGCAGATCATTTTGCAGAGAGCAACTGACAGTACAGGTAATGCCACATGCCATAGCAAAGGGAGAAATAACGGCCAACTTTATCAGGAGCTGAACTATCCCAGGGCATTTTAACAAGAACGACAGCCCTCCCATAAAATGTCTACAGAAGATAAAGATTTTTGAGGGTTTGAATATACTCATTGTAGAAACACACTCACTGCTGAGTGCCTTTGCAGTGAGAGCTGCACTTGCTCTGTGGGAAAGGGTGACATTCAAGGAGGAAATTGGTCTGGAGGAGGATAGACTAGTAAAGTGACAGGATAATAAAGATTTGAACAGGGAGGGTACTTAGGAAGTAATACGCTCACTTGCCTGTATCTAGGGCCCACCGCAGTTTCATTTTGCTATTGACCATGGAAATAGCCGAGGACGTTCAGATATTCTGGAAAAGCAATTAGCAGTAACTACATAGCAAAAATGATTCTGGATATGTAAATGGAGAGCCAGAAGAGAGGTCAGGAGTGAACAACATCCACCTATTTAAATTGACAAAGGCTATAAGATATACCTAATTACCTAGTGTTTTTAGTTTCTCACTTGCCTGCATTATGTATCAATTTACTTTTCAAGTACTCATTTTCATAGTATCAAAGCTCGAGGAGCAAAGAAAAGGGGGGAGTAATGAACAAAAGCAAGCAGATGCATAAATTTTTTTATGTATTTAGGACATCCCAAGCTTTTAAAGAAATGCAGTAGATTATACCTGAATTTTGAAGTTTTAAATACAATCCCATTTCATGTGAATTAAACATAATGCTTTAGTGGTAAAAGCTTTAAAAACTATTTTTAAAATTCCTCCTTCTATCATAATTTAACTGTGTAGTTACTGTCACCAACAGTGTCTCTTTTTACTATATATTCTTTATAATTTTCCCTTAGATTTACAGAGTACTATTACAAAATCCACAGTTACAAAGAGAAAACAGTTATGTTTCCTCAGAAAGCCTTGTCATATGATCTGTCAGCAGAAGAAGCAAGATCTTATTCAAAGACCAGGAACAGCAAATTTTGTCTCCTAATCATAGTGCAAATCTCACTCAATCTCACAGCTGAAGATTTCCCTCAACTCAGTGTGACTCGCAGGGCTGAATGGAAGCGCCTGATGTGGGCAGGAGGTGACCCATCTCCTAACACAGCTGTTGGCCTTTACATTAAGTGATCTGTGAAAAACATTAAGGAACAGTTCCGTAGCTGCTTCCTGTAACAAGAAAGATAGGTTAATTAGTTTATGCTGAACAAAAAAAAGAACACCTCACCATTCTCTTCTAGATACCCCTCCAAAACTTAGAGAAAATGAAAGTTTGAATTAGTTCTATTGCCACAAGTATTTCTAAATATTAACCTCTTGCCAAGCACCCTCTCTCCTATGTATATCCCAAAGCTCTAAAGTAAAAGAACAGACTTACAGTCAGCCAATCCATTTTAAAGCTCTTTGATCAAGCCCTAGGAAAACAGAGACACCTCAAAGTCTGAGCAAAGAAAAACAGAAGTTTGAAAGTGTTCCAATTAACAGCTGAGACCTAGATTAACAAGTAGGGTTAGATATTCAGAATTGATGTTTTCTTTTGCGTAATACCCATCAGTAGTCCTTACTAAGAAAAGGAATACTTTCATCAATCCTGATGTGTAGATGTTTCAGCCAACTAAGCTAACCCCATTCTGAATGTATACTGGCAAAGGATTTGGGTACCAAG